TAAGCAGAGGTACGCAGTGAGGGATTCAAAAGGAGTTAAAAGTGTGGACTGTTATAATCGAGTGTAATTGTGATATTGACGTTAAATAAATCCGCTCGTCAAATATAGAACCCACAGTTATTCGTCACGTTAGCACGGATACACGTGACAATATTTTTAAAATGGCGTCGTCCTTGATATGGCTTCAAGGTCATCTGTTAATGAAGGACGTGTGATACCGCGACCCCCAAAAACAATAATTTGTTTTTAACTTGAGCATCCATCTTTACCAGTCACGAAAATTGTAGTTCTGCATGTTGTTGCAGGTCCCTGTGAGGCTGTACGTTGACAGCAGGAACCTAAATAGCTTTACAGCCTCCCTACACCTACCGGAAGCTATAAAACATGGCCTGTATAGTCCTGGAAGCATTCGCCAAATGTTTCGTCTTCTGTGGTTATATATTCCGAAAGCAACTCTACTGAAACGTCCTAAAACTGTGCGTTGATACTATATTTGTAGTAACTGTTTAGATTTCGGCTACCGGGATTGGGGTGGGGGGATCGCGAGCCACAGTTTGAGAAACCGTAACTTAAGGTATTAATGTGACGTTAAAATGAAAACTTTCCCAATACTAGACAGACAAGATAATTGTGAGTTACTTCACATTGGCTATGTCCGTGAACACCCAGCATCTCTAGGAACTAGCCTTGAGCTCTGTTAAAGTGATTAGAGGTACCATTATTCGTGAGGGTCGAGATAGCTCAGTCAGAATAGTGACTGTCTGTTGGATTCATGACAGGGGCACGAATTTTGCCATCGTCATCACAAACGTATCGGCTCTGGGTTCCTCCCATCTTCCTGTCGAAATCATATCGTGGACTTCTCCCCGGCTGTAAAGTGTCCTGGCCCCCATACGTCATCATGACGCGGTGTCTTAGGTATGGAGGTGACTTGTAAGTACGTATTCTTATTCCGCCTTTTTACCAATAGACAGTGTCACGTATCGGGGGTTTGCGTGGCTTATAAAACGGGGTTTCGATTTGACGATCGAATTTGTTGGCCCTTTATACAACTTGTTACAGCATCTCACAAATCGCTGTCTTCTACTGGACACTCTCGACTTCTGACCACACTACACTGATTCACTCCTGTTGTATAGCCTCGGGGTGGACTCTACAGAAGACACATCCATTGCCTAATAATGGACGTTTACTGTTGTCGCGTATTGTTGTAGGCATTACCTAGCAACGGGCTGTTTAGCCAGCATCTGTTTATCGAGCCGTTGCCTAGCAATCGACCTATACGCCACAACGTCGGTTGTGCCATACCTCAGGGAGTTTGTCACATCTTCCCACCGCGACGGTCTGGGTTCGATCCAAGGTCATTATGTGAGATTTATGTTGGGGAAAATTGCACTGGGACGGGTTTCTTTCGACTGCGTCTGTTTCTCCTGCCAATTCGCACTCCACTAACTGCTCTACATTCATTAATCAAACCTACTATCCGACGGTATTGCAGTCCTCAAGGGGACTAGGGATCGCGCTGTTGGTGTGGCGACTGGCTACGGGCTGGACAACCGAGAAGTTGGAGTTCGAGTACCGGTGGGGTGAAGAATTTTCTCTTCTCCACTTCGTCCAGACTGGGTCCACCCAACTTCTTCTCCAATGGGTACCGGGGGCTCTTTCCCCAAAGGGGTAAAGTGGCCGGGACGTGAAGCTGACCGCTCACCTGCAGCTAGTCCCGAGGTCAAGAAAATGTGGATCTATACATCCACTGGGCCATACGCCTTAATGGCGCAGTGCTTAATTAGTTAAGCACAGGGACAGCTTCACATTTTTATTGCAGTCTCGATAGTCAAGCGTCATGAAATAAGCAGCTAAAGAAGCATAGGATAAATATGTCCGTACCTTCGAAACTCTTTGGTAGGGATTATGGAAGTGTACGGGAGGGAAAGTGGGAGGAGGTGCAGTAGTTGCTGTGCAGTCCCTGTCATGAACTACAACCAATGCACTTCCTGTGCATAATTCAGGCCATACCCGGTTCTTGGAAAGCCTAGTGATATTGTTCTGATATTTCTCAATATCTTGTGTACACTTCTATCGGCGTGTTGTACGGATACGAAGGAAGAAATTTTAAAGATATGATTCGGATTTCTGTTTTCATGGCGTCACCGCATTCAGATACAGCCAAGGACCCAATTGTTTCGCAGTCTTGGGCGTTGTCTCTCTCTTAATCATCCTGTACACACATACATACGTACACACACACATATACATACATACATAACGTGCATACACACACACGTACATACATACATAACATGCATACACACACATATACATACATACATACATACATAACATGCATGTTGAGGATCAAATTTGGGGATTGAAAATTTAAGTCATTACCTAGGTGCCTGGAGACTTGCGAAAAGTGTTTTGCAGTGAAAGAGCAAAGATGACAACACATGGACACGCANATATATACATACATACATACACACACACACACACGTACATATATACATACATACACACATACATACATACATACATATATACATATACACATACATACATACACACATACATACACGTACATATATACATACATACACACACATACATACATATATACATATACACATACATACATACGTACATACACACACGTACATACATACATACATACACACATATACATACATACATACATAACATGCATACACACACACACACACGTACATATATATACATACATACATACACACACACACACACGTACATATATACATACATACACACATACATACATACATACATATATACATATACACATACATACATACACACACGCATACATACATACATACATACACACACATACATACATACACACACACACGTACATACATACATACATACATACATACACACATATACATACATACATAACATGCATACACACACACACACACGTACATACATACATACATACACACATATACATACATACACACATAGGCATGTAACATGTGATAACCCTGAACTGAAAATTTTCAGAAAATATTCCCTGTAAACAGTTTTCTTCTGCTCCCTACGGATTAGCGCATTCATAACCAGCGGCGGTTTTCTTATGTCGTTGTTTACCTCGGTTTGTGGTGAAGAGTAAATTTACACAGCCTCCTGTTGCCTCTTCTCTTAAGTGTTTGGTGGTCGTCCATTCTTCCATTTACAAGATAATTAATTAGTTGCTTTCGTGTGTCTTGATACTTAATTGTGCCCACTCTGGTGGATCTCTTGAAGTTTCGAATTAACATAATTTACGCCTCTTGAAAGTTATCAGGATTTTATGTTCCTCATTTCCCGGAGTATCACTTTCGTACATAAGCGTAGGAATTGCCATTACTGTATGGAACTCGAACGTTGTAATTTTTAATTGTATTCGTCTCCGTATAGTGATGAGTTTGCCGGTCACGGTAGCTGAGTGGTCTAAGGCATGCACTGTCTTCGCTCGCTCGGAAGCCGGGATCGTGGGTTCGAATCCTACTCAGGGCATGGATGTTTGTGTGCGTTCTTCTGTGTTTGTCTACAGGTAGAGGCCTCGCGACGAGCTGATCACCCGCCCAAGGAGTCCTACCGATCTGGTAAACCGAAGTGAAACGGAAAGTTTCATGGAGGTAGGCCTAGGCCCAAATTGGGGCTGAACCGCCACAGGAAAAACAAAAAAATAGTGTTGAGATTAAGAATGCGTGGAACTGTCCACCACTTCGTTATACGTCTTCATGGCGCTTAGCTTAATAAAGTAGTAGGACAGCTTTACTTTTACCTTCCCTACCTGTTTTAATAAATGTGGATCTATACATCCACTCCCCCATACGCCTTCATGGCGTAGTGCTTAATTAGTTAAGCACAGGAGCAACTTTACCTTTACCTGTTTTAATATTCTGTAGTCTGACAAATAATTTAGAAGATATAATATTTTATTTTTTCGATTCCATGGCTTCCTTTCAGGAAGATTTATCTGGAACAAGAATATGACTTTTTATAATAACTAAGTCCATGTACTTTCAAATAACCTTAATGGTTGAGGAGTACGCGGCAGCGTAGTTGGTTGCGGCACTATGCTACAAGCCCGGTTGGTCGCGTGTTGGAGTCCCTATGAGGTGGATTTTTCAATTGACCTAATCCTTCCAGACGCAATATGGCCCTGGGGTCGACTCAACCTCTAACAGAAATGTGTACCAGAACTCTTCCTGGAGGGGTAAAGGACGGCCGACGCGTAAGGCTAACACCCTTACCGCCATCTGTGAGCCGATTGTCTAGAAAATGTGGGAGCCTCGACTTCTCACAACTCTATGGGTCTCCACGACCTGTTATAGGGATACTTTTACCTTTTTAATGTCTGTCTGAGTAGTTTGTGTGTTTGTAGTTTATGTAACGACGCCCTTAGGCACTCAGCCTATAAAGCGTCCAATGGTAGGGTGATCAGTGAATAATGAATTGGAGGTGTGGACGGAAGGTGTCATGGCTGAATTTACTATCCCGGAATTTGCCTGGAGAGGCCGAGGACTGCTACAAAGAATTTATTCAGTATTGTCTTTCCGTAATGTAAAACACACCCTATTATTGACGTAAATACTGATATCATGGCTACGATCTTACTCTCAGCCTCTGTATTTTATTGTTTATTTATGTAGTATACTTGTAAAACGAAATATGTAAGGTTCCACTGGGTTTTCATGATATGGACGTGTCTGTACTGCCCAGGTCTCATCCAAGTTTAGCTTTATTTTCTATGCTGTACCGACAAGTAATAAAATGGATTCGTTAATTATCAGGAAGTAATAAACTAATTGAATAAAAGTAGCGTTTCTCTTCTCGCGTAGTTTCTAAACATCTCGCATTACGTGGTCTACTTGTTTAGAACGGTTAGTACAAGGCAGAATGAGTGAGGTTCAAGCGGGATGGAGGGGGAGGTCTACGTAGCTGGTCGAGTTCCTCGCGCCGTGTTCTTACACAGTCGTCAGGCAGTGGTAGCCATTGCTGCAGCAGCAAAGAGAATTGTGAATTCTGCGCGTGGTCGTGTGTGTATAAGTGATGTAAACGAGGTGGATTAATTTATTTGATGACGAATTGTTTTCAGATTTCAGAAGGTTTATTTTCGACACACGGTGCCGCGTATTGAGAATATCTGTCTGCCCTGGATATATATGTGTGTAGGCGGAAGCCAGCGTTACTCAGAGGTGAAGAATGGATTGTGACTTACAAATTGTGGTGATGCTGAGTGTATCTCCTTAAGCTATATGATCACTCTCTGATGATTAGTCATCATGTCTTCGAAATTGTGGGGCAGATACGCTGATGTTAGCGTTATATTGTGTGATTTTTATATTGTGACGAAGGAAAGTGTTTCTTTAGGAATGTGCAATTAATTGTACAGAAAAGTTGTGAAGTACGGGTATTTCCTTATCTCCTTTAATTATGAAGTTGTACGTGAAGTTTCATAGGAAAACTGACGTAATTATTTATTTGAAGTTAGAGAAAGTTCAGGTAAAATTTGCCGCTTGAGTGTCCAGTTTCAGATTTCGGTGCAAGCAATGTGCATGCAAGTGAGTTACGTACGGTTGACGAACTGTGGACAGGATAATGCTTTCCGTAGCGTTTGTTTGCATTTTACCAATTAAGGAAACAAGTAGTGTATATCAACAATGAACTGCATTAATACAAATCGGTGTTTACCTAAGAAGGCAGAAGTCTTGTGCGAAACGTTGAGAATACCATATGAAGAAATGTCGATGCCCCATTAAGATGCCTTTCTAACACTTACGTGATAAACCGATTCGTCATGGAGATTTTTAAAGATAGAAAGTGAATGAGAAGAAATTAACGATGCTTTTTTGTTGCTAGGATACTGTAACATCTCATTACAACAATTGTTAACAGTACGCAGCTGTTAATATTGTGCAGCGAAGTTCTTTTATGAAAGTTATTACATAATGCTTTGCGTATGCCTCATTTTCTCTAATAAGCTCGAAACAGAATTGATTGGTGACCTTTTAACATGATTGTAATTGATGGAAGAATGGCGGAAGCCGTGTTTTGCTCTGTAATTTGGTACTGGTATGGTAATTTCTGACAATGCTGGACAATAGTAGTGGTGGTAATGGTTCAGGAACTGGGGGGACGGGGCGTAGGAGGTCGACTTTCTACGTGACTTTATCAGAGAACATGACTGCGAACGGTGGTACAAACAATTCGGAAAACAGAGAAATTCTGGACAAGACAAGTAACACAAAAATGTCTCCCCAAAAGAAACTGTCAAATTCAAGTCAGACACTCACAGTAGTGGAACCAGAAAAGAATGCCGTTTCAAGAAGAACTTCAACACCAAAATCATCATCACAGACTCATCCATCGAAATCCCCATCAAAATCGTCTCATGTGTCAATGAAAACTGGTACAAAACCGTCACCTGTGCATGCCCCTCAACCGTTCAAGGCTTGTACAAGAACTGTCCAGGGTCCACAGTTACTGAGACTTCCTCCTCCACAGTCACCGAAAACTCCAAAGAAATCATCATCTTTATTGCAGTTATCCAGCATAAAATCACCAGAATCTTCATCATCATCATCATCAGCACAGAAAACTGGTGGCAAACCTCTCCAGCTTTCTTTGTCTCTGAGACGAACGCCCTCGACCAGAACAACTGTGGTAGTGACTCCACGTGACGGCGGTAAATCGAGTGTACGAAAAGTTTCGCTGAATACAAAAACTGCATCAACAGTTTCAAGTAAAGCACCGTCAAAGGATGGGCACAAACAGATTCCCCTCGTTGTGGTGGATCAGCATGACTGTAGCAATGATGTGAAAACAAGTGATACACAGGAAGCGAAACAGTCATCCCGTCAGGTCAGCAAAGATGGCGGCGAAGACGTCAACGATGCCGGTGTTCATTCTGGTAAGAGTGCATTCACGCTAAGGTGAAGTTGTCCCTGTGCTTAATTAAGCACTACGCCGTGAATACATATGGGGTAATGGGTGTATAGATTTTTACCTCGGCCCTGGTTAAAGAGGTGAGTGGTCAGCTTCAAGCCTCGACACCCCCGGTAACTCTCTTATAGGAGGCTGGGCGGGCCGCAGAATCGGTGTATCTACGACAACTTATAACATTAATTGACTACTTAATTAGAATTCTTAAACAAAACACAACGAGAACTACTTTCACTTACATTATTATAACACCAAATCAATGCAGGTGCACTATGGCCCTGGGGTCGACTCAGCTTCTAATATAAATAAGTACCAGGAATCTTCCTGGGGGTAAAGGGCGGCTGGCGCGTAAGGCTGACATCTCCGCCATCTGTGAGCCTATTGTCTAGAAAATGTGGCAGCCTCGACGTCTCACAATGCCATGGGCCTCCACAGCTTGTTACAGGGACAGCTTCACCTTTGTCCAGAACGGAAGTGTCCGGCTTATGGGAGAGCTGTCATGTTTGTAGCATGGAAAGGGTATTCACACTTGTGTTGCTGAGGACTCGAGGCGCAGGTTGTTTCGAGCGCGTGACAACCACAGATTTTATACTCAGAAGGTAATTACTGTCCAGCGATGGTAGACTGACGTTGATTAATGTAAGAGAGCCCTCCCCCAATATTTTTTTTCTAAATAACTGCATAAGAGCTCATTTAAGTTATGGAGCAAACAGACGCCTTAAGACCTAGCAGGTTGGCATGTTGGTAGCATTCCTAATCTCGTATTCGGGAAATGCATTGTTCGAATCCTGGCAGGGACACCGGCTGTCCCTACCCATCGTGTTTCCTCTGAATTAGGGCATTATCGCCTCCTTCCAGATTCTTTCGAATTCATCTCTTATCCACCCATTCCGTGCCACATGATCTTGCTGCAGAAAGAATTGTTAAATAACTTTTCAGGATATTGTCACGTGTAGGGGTGATCTGTAAGACGGGTTTTGGATTGGGTGATTGCATTTAGTGGCACTGCTACAGGCTTGGCGACCGTGGAGTCTGGGTTCGATTCCCTGTAGGGGTGTTTTTTTTTTTGTTTTTGCTAGTGGGGTGGGACTAAGTCCCTTGTACTGCGGCCACTTCGGGTCTATTGTACCAGCCCCAGATGATAGGTGAGGGTGATTGTGGAGCAATTGGTGGAATGAAGATTGGCAGGGGAAATCGAAGTACTCTGAGAAAACCTGCCCCAGCTCCACTTTGTCCACCACAAATCCCACTTGACCAGACCCGAGATCGAACCCGGGCCGCCGCGGTGGGAAGCCATCGACTAATTGCTTGAGCTATGGCGCGGCCACTCCCTGTAGGCATAAGAACTATTTCACATTTCCATAACGTCCAGACCGCATCTGGGGCCCACCTAGCCTCCTGTACAATGGGTATCGCGATGTGTTACCTTGCGCGTAAAGCGGCAGGGCTCGAAACACGATCTCCATCTAGTACCCAGGTTAAGAATGATGGAGCTATACCTCTGCTCACCTATACGTCTTCATGGCTTGGTGATTGATGAAGTCAATGGATGACATTGCCCTCACAGATACATCTAATAATGTGGTAGTTACATACTTTTTGCAGACCACTGATAAAGCGAATAAGGAAACTTTTTCGTATGCTTAGTTGAGCGTTGATGCAAGTTGTAGAGAGCATTGTTACGTCCTACTACGTAAGTGTGTCCGTAGATCACAACAATTTTATACTTTTAGTAAATAAATAAATAAAGGGAGGCACGCTGCTACAAGCCGGAAGGTCGGGGATTCGATTCCCGATGAGGTCATTGGATTTTTCAATTGATCTAACCCTTCCAGCCGTACTGTTGCCCTGGGGTCGACTCAGCCTCTAACAGAAATGAGCACCAGGAATCTTCCTGTGGAGTAAATGGCGCCCAACACGTAAAGCTGACAACCTCACTGCCATCTGTGAGCCGATTGTCTAGAAAATGTGGGAGCCTCGACGTCTCACAACCCTGTGGGCCTCCATGGTATGTTACAGGGATAGCTTATTGTGATCGATGTATCTACACAGTAGTGGCATTCACAGCAGGATGCAAAACATACGAATGAAGATTTTTATGTCCTGTTTAATTCTGTAGTTAAGGAGTGTGAACAGAGTAGAGTTGCTTACAATATAGCGCTCACGGGGTCTGGAATTCCTTTCGGGAGGTCTTGTGTATATTTAGAGTAAGAAATGACGCGGAGAGTAAAGTAGGTCTCAGCTTCGTGTTTGTTTATTCAATTAGAATGATTGTAACTTGTGCCTGTCGTCACCCAGAGCGGTAGTATTAAGGCGGGAAGAGTGTTTCAGACGCTGTATTTTACAGAGTGCCGCGATAGCTCAGCCAGGAGAATGAATGGCTGCGGACTGAACAAACAGCGCTCGATTCCCGGCGGAGGCAGAAATGATTTTCTTAATCCCTTTGTGCAGACTGGCCCTGTGACCCATCAAGCATCCTGTCAAGTGGGTACCGGGGTTAATACGGTCGGAGCGTGAATATCGCCTGCCTCTGGAGAAAATTTCATAATGTGGCTCGCAGAAAATTGCGTAATGGCGAGCATAATATATAGAATGAGCAACGCAAGGAGGAGGGCGCGATGGGCAGACATGTAGCACGCATGGGAGAGCCGAATGCATACAAGATTTTGATGTTAAAGTCAGATGGAAAGAGACCAGTAAGAGGAGTTAGACATAGGAAGAGGTGAGAGCTAAAACCCGTACCAGGCCTTGGAGGCCCATAGGGTTGTGAGACGTCGAGGCTCCCACATTTTCTAGACAATCGGCTCACAGATGGCGGTGAGGTTTTCAGCCTTACGCGCCGGCCGTCCTTTAGCCCCAGGGAGATTCCTGGTACTCATTTCTGTTAGAGGCTGAGTCGACCACAGGGCCATAGTGCGGCTAGAAGTATTAGGTCAATTGAAAAATCCAGTGACCTCATTGGGAATCGAACCGACGACCTTCCGGCTTGTAGCATAGTGCCTCAACCAGCTACGCTACCGTGTGCACCAACCGGTGGAAAGCTGTTGCGAATTCGATACTGAACCTTCGGATCCCGTAAAAAGTTGGGAAATTCTTGAGTAGTTGAGCGACTGGAAGCTTCTCAAGAAGGACTCAGGTCCATGGAATGGCACGAACGCATCTTTATGGCATGGTGATTAGATACACGGAAAACTTGTCCTAATAACTCCCCTCCAACTAGTGATGTGGTCGAGAATGGTGGAGCTATGTTTCCATTCCCCCATACGTCTTCATGGCGTGATACTAAATTGATTAAGCCCCGGGACAGCTTTACCCTTTCCCCATCATGCCATGGGAACATGGCAAGACTTTAGATAATCTGGGCACAAAAATTAAACTCCGTGGCCTGTAGTCCGCAAGCGAACTATACCGACCGAGCGACTGCCGCTAATCGGCGAAGTTAGTGCCAACTTTAGCGGATAGAGGGGGTCGCCTGGTCAGCGCAACGGATTCCCACGGCCGTTAATTTTCGGTTTTCTAGACCGGATAATCTGGGCACTGTGAGGGAATTTCTTCACAGGGTTTTTAGGTTATGTGGCGAGCTCAGTCGGCAGAGTGACTGGCTACGTCCTGGTCGGTCGTGGTGCGATTCCAAGTTGTAACAATTTTTTTTTTATCTTCTCACTTTCAGCGTCAATTGTGTCAGGCAGGTCCGCCCATTTGCGAAGATGAACAGAACTTGTTCTCAGGCTTGTCATTGGGACTTAGCGCGGATGTATGACCGCATAGTGGGAGACGAGCGTTTCCGGTACACCAACTTTTAGGCGTACGGGAAATGCACGCGCTCTACCAGCTCTTATATAGATATGAGAATATTTGTGAGTAAGAAATTACTGCTTGTATATCGACAAGAAACCTATGTCTGTGTTGTTTTCTGAAGCAGTATTTCGCAACCCGTGGTACATGTACCCGTAGCTGTGCGAGAGAGAAGTCTGGACGGGTACGCCAACAACTGAAATGTCAGAACTTTTGCTTTTAAGTTTTAACTAATAAACATATTTTTGTGTCCGTTGAGAACTTTATTGCCTATAAATATTCTCATCTAAGCAACCCGATACGATTAAATTGCTTAAAGAAATGTGTTGCAGTGGTTGGGAAAATCGTATTTGAAAATTTTTGGGGTACCTAACGAAATTTGCCGGTCACGGTAGCCTAGCGGCCTAAGGCATGTACTGTATTCGCTCGCTGAGTTCGAATCCCACAGAAAGCATGGATGTGTATGTGTGCGTGTGTTGTCCTGTGTTTAGGTGCAGGCCTTGCGACGTGCTGATCACTCGTCCAAGGAGTCCTGCCGTCTGAAATGATCATGAAACTGAAAATCGGACGACGGCCCAAGGGAGCTGTAGAGCCAGTGAAAAAAAAAAATAAGGGAGATTTTACAGAAAATGCTGAGGAACATTGCTCTGCTGTATCCAAATTAATCCGGTGTCATTAATTCCAGATTTAAATATTCACGGAACAGCTCTGTAAGTACGTACGTGCCTATTTAAAATAGAGCTGCAAAGCGGCGAGGCGTGTCAGTAGTAGCTTGCTGGAAATGAGGTAGAAACTATGTTTTGCGATGTGAGACAAAGCAGGGTGCTGAATGGACCTTACAGTTTTCACTCAGGAAGTTGAGTAAGTGTCGTGTCATTCTGCCGTGTTGGTTTGAGAGAGGAACCAGGATTTCAAGCTCTTTCTCCGATAGAACCAACAAAGTCTTTAGAGCAGTGAATTAACTTTCTACTGTACCATAAATATGTCGGCTATTGCATTGCTGTTTTCGTCTTTCCATTTTATACGTTTATTATGATTATATTTTTAACAGAGTACGTATGGTGTTGTGGGCAGGGCATGTAGCACGAATGGGGAGAAGAGGAATGCATATAGGATATTAGCGGGAAAGCCAGAAGGAAAGAGGCCACTGGGAAGACCAAGGTGTAGATGGGT